GATGACTGAGTGGTGTTGTACTGTAAAGTGTTTGTAAATAGCAGTGTCAGTGACAACTGAACATTTAAAAGTTGTATTCAAAATTCATAGCAGAGCTGTTGTAATGGATTGCTGCAGGCGTACCTAATAAAATGGCCACTGAGTGTATTTGTACTGAGTGCATTTTTTTAGCATACTATGTGATCTTTAATGGCTGATGTTTTAGATTAGTGCTCACAGCAAAGCTGCTGGAGTGTTTTAAGTTTAAACTGACAAAACTATCCAGGTCTGGCACATGTGACGTCACTACCTTAACTTGTGAAAAGTAGGTCAGTCAGTAAGTCACCTACTCTGGAGATCTGCAGTTCCAGGGTTCAAATACCCAGGTTACCATGTCAGACTTGCTGACAATGGGGTTGTTCAGATCATAGTGAGTCTAATGTCTCTATTTTATTTGGATCCTGTGGCACTTTCTTCTTATTTTTCTCTGCTTAAAAGAGTTTGTGCAGCTTAAACTTTAAACCATGGAAACACAAAATGTCGCAGGTAGGTTGAACATCCAGTAGTCAGGTACATATTATGAGTCTCTGATCTCAAGGTGATGCTGTAAAAATCAAGTGTGCTTTTCCCCAATTATCTCAAAGTCCAAATTCTTTCATCACTTTAATCCCTTATGTCATCTGCATCTGTTCTTCTCCTCTGAAAATGTCAAATAGCGTTCACAACTTGCTTGGATCCCGATCATTCCCGCTCGTGGCTATATTTCAGTCTGTTATTGATGCGTCAGTATCATGGTCACTTTCAAGTCCTTTGTTTTTAATGAGCAAACTTCTCCCAACAGGTGCTCTGCTGTGCCAGTGCACTTTGTCTGTGTTTTTGAACATGTAGTTCTAGAGGTGATGACTGTCAGGACTGACACATGCTGGAAAGAGGCGGTGAATGAAACATGACTCAGCTGTGTAATCACCTCTGTAATTTTGATGTCACTGCTTCAAAGTCCTATTTCATGTGGTTTTTTCATTATTTTGTTCATACCTTATACCTCACACACTGAGCTGGTCATAAAACTGTCCTGGGAGTCATTTCTCCAAACTGGGGATTTAAGTCTCTGAGTATTGTGAAAGATGTTTATCGTGATTTATGTTGCTTGAAGACAGAATATAATCTTTTCCTAAATCTTTTAATATAATTAAATTCTAATAAAAACATATTAATATAATAAAGATAAGTCCAATGATTTTCTGTGTGACATTACTTTAAAGGCCCTATATGCCAACGCAGTGTTTTCACTTAATGCTGATCAGACCTCTGCTCAGGTTAAAGGTGGGCGGAGCTATGACAGCAATTACGAGATGTTACTGGACTCCATCTTTTTATAGGGATAATAAAGGTGTAATTTGTCCCTCCATATGTGCAACAAAGCAAACAGAAGAGTCAGTGACAGTATTTGGAATTTTCTCCCTAGGGGGATTGTCCTACTTATGACGAGAGGAAAGGAGGAAGTCAGATGACGCTGTTAAAGAGTGACACAGTCCATGTAGGGAGGAGGTTGGGTTTGATGATTGGGTCAACAAAACATTTGACATTTGAGTTGACTGTTCGTTTTCTGCAAGAAAAAGCATGACCACGATAGTCCCATAACCGTAACCACCTGTTTATTATTGTCATCATGACAAGTATAAATGTTTCCCTAATCTTAACCACTTGTTTATTTTAACCCAAACCATGATCTTTCCCTAAACCTAACCAAGTTGTTTTTGTGACTAAACCTAACCAAGCCTTTACCATTGCATTGTAGCACAAGGTGCATTTTAATCCACCTATTAATATGCACATTTTAATTTGTTCATAAAAAAACCTGAGAGGAAATGCAGAAAATGTGTATTTTTGGCTGAGGAGGAAAAGTTTGTCTATCAATAAAAGAAAAATGCAAGAAAGTGCATTAGAAACAGGGAATTAATCATGATGTACATAAAGCATGTGACTTAAACATCCACTGAATCTTTTGCAAAAAATAATGGCAGCCTGTAACACCTGGTATCACCCCTTGTTTTTAACCAGAAACAGAAGTCTTGCTCAATTCTCGCTCTGAAATATCATGAGTGACGAGTTATTGCAGGACGACGCCGGTGGAAATGTGAGTCAGATTTGGAGAGAGGAGTTTGTTGTGTTGGTATAATGTTAGGATAAAAAGTCTTGCTAGCAGCACTGCACGGATTTCAAAACATTTTGTACCTACTAGTCATTTTGACCCCAAAATATGGGAAAATAGGTTTAAAAATACCGAAATTATTCTTTAATATAAAACTTAAGGTTAATGCAGGTTTGATATTTTTTATTGTGCTTTATTAAGTAAAATATTAACTAAAAAGATTAACAATATACACTCAAATAAATCTAGAAAACTTTGTCCAGAAGGCACCCATCGTGAGGATTGTGTACTGAAGGAAACCTCAGACCCCCCTATCTAATCCCAGTGGCTATCCTGTTTCCCTTTGGCCTGCTCAACAGCCTCATATAATACCTCATAGTGGTTTTGAAAAGGCAATCATAACTGTAACTATGTTGCCCAAGTAGGATATACAGTAGGACAGGCACTCTAAACACTTATTTTACATCAGACTTGCATGTCAGGTGTGGCTGATATGTGCTTGGAACATCTCTATATACAAGTAGTCTAACAAAGCTGCACTCAGCAGCCTGATCTGCACAGTCTCAGTTCACTGGCACACCTACATACTAACCCAAACTCCTTCAACAAAGTATTATACTTACTCCCTGTTTTGGTGTCAGTGAGGTTTTGAAGAAAATGTTCCTTAAAGTCTAAATGATGAAGAGTGATTTTGTTTTCAAATTTGATTCTGTGTTTTGACAGGTAAAATGGCATTAAAGATTACAGTGCATGGTATTATAAATTATGCAGAGCCCACTATGTTATTTACATATTATACTTCATTCAGTAACTCACTAATCTTTTCTTAATAGATGTTTCTCAGAGCACTTCGACTTGTCAAACGTAGGTTAATAACATTAATGATGGCTGCGTTCCATTTAGCTGCTCCAGTGCCAGGACCCCGCTATTGTGCATGTTGGCTCACTTGCATTGCTTTCTGGGGCACCTAAATGGAACCCAGCCATCATTAATGTTATTAGTTACACCTGACAAGCAGATTGTCTGCTGTGAGAAAGATCTATATTAGTGGCTGTGATCATTTCCAGTTTGAGTTGCATGCTCACTGTTGGTGTCAGGAAGAATTCACTTCATAATGAACCTGGGTTATGTATTTCCATGAAGTCGACTCCCTTATGATCAAAACTGGAGAAATGAATTAGTTGTTCTATAGCTGACAGCAGTCCAAAGAAAATGAAAAACGGAAAACAATAGTTTGTTATAACTTGTGTTTTATTTCTATAGCTCTGTTCAACTGTTCTATTGGTTATGATAACATTGTTCTCACTTAAAGTAATCAGTGTTTTAATATTACCCACGGATCTTATGACTTTTTGTGAAGGAACCCCCAGAGAATGATACTGTTCCCCTCAGCTCTATTATGCTTTGTAGCTTGTTTCAGCTTGTTGTCACACAGTTAGCGACTGGTTGATAAAAACTGTGGCGCATTTAGCTGCTAAAAGTCAGAGTCATTTCCCATACATAGATAGATTTACAGACCAGACATATTCACACAAACTAACATATGATGTAAAAAATATATTTACAATGTATATTTACAAAATATATATGTATACTTAGATGTATACACAAGTGCAACTGTGCGCATATTCAGGATGCATCACTTGCAACAGGCAGTCGGATAATCAGACAGGTTGTAAACAAGCCAGCATTTTTGTCAAATTAGCTACCACTTTACTTAGTAAATCCTAAAGTGAGCTCTCCCATATTGTCGCTAATAATCCCTCATTGCCCAGGGAAGCTGTCAGTCTGCACAACTGTGGCTAGTAGGGGGGTCAAAGTTGAACCAGAAAGTTGGTCTGTAAGTGCCTTTGTTTTCTCTTTCAAATGTATTTTACTCACCACATGTAACATTTCAAGATCTTAACAATTTTGTGTGTACACTGTTACACAGTACTGACAGAACTGATGGCCAGAGCTACGGAAATAAAACCCAAGTTGTAATAAACTGTAGTGTTCCTTTAAGAAATGGTGTCACATAGAGAAAGGGAGATGCTTTGGAGAGACATCATTCATTCTGACTCACTCTCAGTGATGCCAGTCAGTACATGGGGCACCATAATTGCATAAAGACAACAATAATCCACTTTATAATTGCTCTACTTTCTGCTGAGAAGTGCTAGGTATTTATTGGTTCCAGAAACACTGGCACAGGGCAATGCTGGTTCTCAGAAAAATTAGTTATTAAAGTTACATTCCATTTACTGACAGCAGGCAGATATGCTAAACACCCTGGGAGAGTTGGATGCTTTTTTGTTCATTTGCTTAAAGAGACTGTATACGTCAGAGAAGTTATGGCAAAGCTCCATGTTCTGTGGTCTCAACCCTCTGGAGGTTGGCCATTCGTCCAACCCAGCACTGGTACTACAAGACCATCACACTAAACAGAAAACAAATGGCAATGAAGGACCTGGCAAAAGGAGAGAAGCAGCTGTGACTGTGTCTGTGGCCCAAAGTCATTTGAGACTATTCTTTAATCCTGACACCTGCAAGCCATTTCATCGTGATTTACAGTGGGGAAAATGCAGGCTGGGGGCAGGGAGGCCACCAGAGGGACTGTTTTCACAACAAATGATGAAGAACACACTGTTGTTTCTTGCAGGCCAGGCATTTGTAGTTTGTTGTTCACAAACATATGGATAGCTTAATCTGACAATGAAGGCACTGACAGAAAATAAGCTTCTCAAGAGACTGTATGAATGCTTTTTGTATTTATGTATGTACTTACTGTCTCATGTTTGAGAGAGGAAAGAGACGTGGGAGTGGAGGAGAGTGAGACTGAATGTGTGTGTGTGTGTGTGTGTGTGTGTGTGTGTGTGTGTGTGTGAGAGAGAGAGAGAGAGAGAGAGAGAGAAAAAGACCAATTGAAGATAAATAGGCTGGAGGTTTTGGGACAGGATATGGAGTTCACATGAATGATCATTAGCAGGATCTCTGCAGACCAGAGCAGCACTGTTTAGTGGCTGAAAGTCGCCCAGCTGCTCACCCGTGATGTCTTGATATTACGGTATTGTTTACATCCGTTCACTTTCTCATGTCATTACTTGTGTGTGAGTTTGCCACATGCTGAATTACTTTAGGTTTGGACTGAATGTGTTGCATTGTGTAATGTAGCAGCAGTAATTATCTGCGACAAACACTGTTCACATGTGGTGCAAGGATTTAGCTGAGTTGTCCTATCTAAACACATTTTGGAGTTTGTGTCTGCACATTGCAAACAAAGTTATTCCCAAAGACTGCAAGGACTTTTAATTGAAGACATTCCAGGTTGTGAAATTAATTAGTTTGTGAATGCTGCCATCAACATACACCATTAATGGTAATCATTGCCTCATTCATTGAAGTAATAAAGTAAGTTTAAATACTTGATGTTATTAATCTAATTTTGTTACTTTTCCTGCCCGGACATGGGGATGATGTTCATCTTTTGCTCAGTGTATTCTTTAAAGTGCATTTATTTTATACAAATCCCAGGTTTCAGCCTGTCTGCCAATTAAAGCTGATGTCAACATAAAGGCAAACAAAAACACACTAAGCTTTCCTTTCTCAGCAGAGTGCCATTTAATAGTAATCCCCAACCGTTATATTGACTCCTTTAAGTCTACACAGAAAAACACATCATGTGCAGAATCCTTTCTTTGCCCCTCAGCTCACTCGAGCCAGGGAGGTGTGGAGGAAAAATGAGCTGAAAGTGAGATCCTCATGTTCCAGTGGCATCACCACCTGTGGAGTTTGCACTGCTCATTGTGTGTCCCACATCTTGCCAGCTCCTTCAAACTTTTCAGCTCCAAAAACACACCATTTTATAAGTTCTAAAAATATCACACTCACACACAATGCCCAAGACTTATCATAATAATAATCTTGCCTAATTCATCAAAACCTTCTGAGAAGTCTTTCTTTTCAATGCAGTGAGGACCACAAATGAAATTTTGTTTTCCTCCATTTGTATGACAGAACAAATCTAAGATCTAAGATTATTTGCTTCTCTAGATTTTTCTTGCTTCCAACCATCTTGTGGGGAGCTCAGTGAAAAAAGACGGTAATTATTTGCCTTAAGCTGCTGTTTCTTCTCTATGTTAATTGATCTTTAAGTTAGGCCAGTAGCAGCCTCCAGCTCATAACAGAAGATAGATCCATCTGTGTCATAAATGTCGAGTAGTAGAATATTACTGTATGCAGATGATGTGCTTTTGTACCTACCTCTTGCAGCATGTGTACTGCATTAAACCAACAGATTTAATATTGAAACATAAATGTCAAGTAAATCCTCTTAGATAAGCTCTAAAATACTATAGCTGTAATATTCGCTACACCTAATTGAACAATTTACTTTTGTGCCTCCAAACCTAACACATCTGAGATATCACAAGATAACTTTTATGGTCCTGCAGTACCTTACCTTATCCAAATAATACACAGTATTGTTATTACACAATAATACCACAAATGTATCATTCCAGTTATTGCCAAAAAGATTTACATTCCGCCACATAATGTATGTACTTGTATGCTTTGAGGTCATTATTATATCAGACAGACCATGAAATAAGGTCTGTAAAAGGTAGTTAGCGTTTTCAGTCTAAACAGTATATCTATAAACTGTACAATTCTTTACTGCAAGATGGCTTCCCATCCTACAAAGGGTTTTACTGTGTATTTGTATGACAAGTGATAGTACATCTTTATTTCATTATGTTTGTTGTGTTTGTCACAGAGAAATAATTAATGACATCGTGTTTAGCAGTTGATCCAGTTAGTGTTGTGTTAAAGCTGATGCTGCCAGTTATTAATTAGTTGACTTTATATGCTGTAGGTCCAAAATGACACCGATATCCTCCACAAACTCAACTTCTGGACATGGACTGGTCATGTCATCGAAACTGTATAATGTCTATTACCCAACATGGAGTTTCTTAAAGATGCACCAACACAGAGTAGCCTTGTCTGTTTCCTACTCTGACATCTGGATTACAGGTGAGAAGCCAACCTGTCATATACCCCATCTCCCCATAAAAAATCTTCTATCAGCCTTTGTCCTCTAGATTGGCCCTTTTCCCTCCTTTATAACCACACAAATCCTTAAAATCTGTTTACTGTATTGTAAAATAAATTAAATTAAATTATTTTGCAAAGGTTTTGCATTAACTACATATCAATCAAAGTATCTCACATTTTTAAATAATAAATGCTCTGAGGCACTGAGGACCGGTAATAGTTATGAGTGTATACTTTACTCTACAGACTTACACTACCTCCACCGTAATAATGAGAGAAACGCTTTTCAACGCAACACTGGCGCTCAGATGGCAAACAGTCAACATGCCCTACAGATCATTTGTTTTCACCACTCTTGTCTTTCCATGCTGTAATGTAGTGTTGCGTAAATCAAGTGGGCTGGTATCAATCAGCCCCGAAAATGGTTCCCTAATACAAAACACGTTCAGGACATCAGATATCTATCTTGTGACCTGGAGATCTTTATCTTGCAAATTACAAATGCGCCTGATGGCAGTTGAGGTTATTTAATATCCATCGACTGACAAATAAATCAACCAGAAACAATTGCAAAGGGCCACAAAAGACATTGGAATCGCCACAAAAATAATAAATTGCAAAAGTACGACAGAGCACCACAAATGTAACATGACTTATTTAGCTTACATAACTTCATTTTTTGTCTTTCTGACAGTTTGTGATTATAAATCGGTTGTAATATAACAGATGTATTCTGCTGCAAACCTTAGATGAATCTTTGTTGTTCCTTGGCTTAGAATCATATGATAAGTAACAACTGCATGAGCGAAATTTGTTGCAAAACTGTTTTTGGCATTTAGCAACAAGTGTTGTTCCATATTTTAATATACTTCATTGGTACATAATATTTTAGTTGCTTTTGTTTGTTTTGTAAGCAAAACACTTTATTGTGCAGATAAACCGCATAAAAAACAACAATGACCAAATATGACCATATCTGATAAATAAATTGAACACCTCTTGTTCTAAACTCTATTTTGCTCTTAATTATGTACTTAATATTTTAACCAGTTAAAAGGTTGAAATTCACCTTAAAGCACCACTGAACTTACCTCAGGCTCTGCTTGGTTTATTGCTTTTCTTCAAACACTTCTTTTCTTCACTCTTGTTTCTCTCCTCTGTGCTCCATTCCCAGAGATGACACTGTCATATTTTGAAACATCTCTCTCTTGGTTGGCACTGCTGTGCTTCCCTCTGTCTCTCTGTTTCTCTTTTGTTAAGGACCACACAGAGGGATGACATGTTGGAGGCACATCCAGGCTGGGTGGCCCGGCTGCAGGAAAGATGTGGGTGACAGGATCAGCCTTCAACAGACTATGGAAGTAATGCGTGTAGACAGTGTAAAACCAGTCTTTTGGAGACCTGTAGAAAGAGCAACGCTGGCAATTCTGAATAAAAAAAGAAGAAGAAAAAGTTCTTTGGGAGCCTTGTTTTAGCTGCAGCCTCATGCACTGGACTCTCATGCACTACTAATGTGTTTAAAAATCCTAAGCAAAAGAAGTAAAGAATCTAACTTTCCATTCCCACTAGTTTATTAAAAGAATCTTTCAGTGAAATGCAGCTTGTACAGATTTCAGAGATAAAAAAAACATAAAGGAAATTTAATTATGGCTTTTCTTTGAAATTACTTTCAATTACTTGAGCCTTGATAAAGATATTACCCCACTAGTATTGTTAAACACTCAACAGCTGTTGAAAGAATGAAGCATTACGTTTTCAGGAAGGTACATCATTTATAAATGTACCTTTCCAGCATCCATAACTTCTATGTCCTATGTCTATGACTTTTTAAACAAAGTTTAAAAAAAGTTGCTAAATGAATATCGAGACAAACTGTGGAAGATAAAACATTTCAGAAAGTTCATGTGTAGCTTTCTTAAAAATAATCTATTCGCATTTGTATCCAATATATTTGCATTTAAAAGGTTCATATACCTGTGACATGTAGCTATAAAGCATTTTCTGACTCACTGGTAGGCTCATCAACATTGAACCACTTCTGTGTAGTTCAAGGAGGCCTGAGAACTCCTCGACCCGAGGTGTTTCCTACCAGTCATTAAAACACTTTGGTTCCTGCAGAAAATGGAGAAGATTACCCCCCGTCCCCCTTTCCTGATAATCACCTTGTAGCATTTAGCACATACTTAACAAAACAAATGGCCTCTGTGTGAGAGCAAGAGAGAGAGAGAGACAGAAATCCACTGATGCTGGACTTTGTCAAGCCTGAGAGGCTGCAGAAAAAATAGATCAGAAGTGTCATCACTAACAGGCCCCTGGATCCCAGCGGACCAACAGCTTCTACATTCTTGTTGGAATGAGGAATGGTGCAACCGCTGATTGTTTATTTTGTTTCTCTATCTTGTCTTAGCAACCTCTTTTTAATGAGAATGTGCAGTTGTGCATTAAGCGCTGGTCTCCCTCCTTTTCTTGTTAGCTGCTTTTGTGGCTATGAGAGAAAGATAAACAGAAAAGACTCTTTGGTTTTTGTATCAGCACAGCAAATGTGGGGAGCTGGGAATCTCATACATTAAAAAACTAAACCTAAGACACCTCATGAAAAATCACTTATCTCTTTATTCAGTCCAAAAGTCTCAACTTTGCACATTAATGTGAAAATGTTTTTTCTCTACAACTACAGACATAACGTGATTCATGAATATCCCAAGTGTAAACAAATCAACGTGAAACTTCTACACCCACATGCCTCGTATCTAACATATATTATGAACAGACAAAACATTTACAGATTATAATAACATGTCAGATGAGGTGGATGGGAATGTAAGGGTGGATAGTCTTGTGAATCGAAAAAAGAGGTGCAATTAATGAACACCAGACTTAATAACGGATAACTGCTTTAGCACTTCAACAAAACTCAGCGAGAAGTCTCTACATTAGTGTCTCAAATAATCCTCTGAGCAAGGAACAGCCTATTAAACATATTATGGTGTATGTGGTTTGATATGTCAAAGTAGAATAAAGCATGTTAACTCACTCTATAGGAGGGGGAGGAGAAATAAAGAAACATTCAAACAAATCTGCTGTCACTAGACAGATAAAGACACAATTAGCTGTGTGTGTGTGTGTGTGTGTGTGTGTGTGTGTGTGTGTGTGTGTGTGTGTGTGTGTGTGTGTGTGTGTGTGAGAGAGATCCGGGCACCAGTAGGCGGTCAGGTGGTTCTCTGTGCTCTCCAGTCAAGCATCCAACCACCCCAATGCCATTGTGCAATGTAGAAGCTGCATGACTGATGCGACAAAAGAGGAGAAATTGATCTTCCAAGACAAGCTCTGCTCTCAGCACACTGTGTTGTGTGGTAAGGGAAATGAGCTGATCCTCTCGAGCAGACCGCAACTAAGCTTTGGCTTTTTTTTCCCCAATCGTAGTAGCACTTAATCCACAGCTCCAGGAGGAGGGAAAACTGGGGAACAAAATAAATTTGTGTAACAGGCCTTGTAAGATCCAAGTAGAACGTGGTAATAATCTTTAACACAGACCAATAAAGAAATCCCAAGCTTTTCCAAACTTAAGCTCAGGAAACTGAAATATGAATCTCGCAGGCCAAATTTTTATGTTTTGTTAAAATATTTGACTTGACGTGAAGACAAAGCTTTCGTAACACGTAACCGAACCCATCTAGCACACAGCACTGACAGGTGTGGCATTTCTAGTGTACCCTTGAGCATGGTACTTCAGCTCACTTATCACAGCTTAATTCAATTGCTCCAATAAAACAATCCAGCTGCATAAACATCTTACAGAATGTGTGAAATCTAAAACAGAGAGCATCTTTAATGCTCCCTGGATACCGCTGTCTGCTACAGGGGACAATAAATCATTTTACTCTGTAATTTAATGATTTAAGAGCTCACTATTTGTCACATTGTGGCACCATGCTGGGCCAAGGTGTCACTTTCCTAAGTGTCCATTACTGTGAAAGTCCACTCTCCCAAATGGCAGAATGGGAGGCCCCATTTGGGGTGGCTGGTTGAAGCTGTGACAGCATGAATCTGTGCTAAAGGGCTGGGCTTTTACACCTGTGTGTGACACAGGGGGAGGTTCAGCAGTGAGTGGGAGAGTCAGCCAGCTGTGCTCTCTTGTGGTAGCTCCAGGGATAGCCTGGAAAATGTCAAATTTAAAAATCCCTTTTCTGTAAGCCATTAAAATCACTGTATCTGTTCGTAATTCTCCAAACCGATATTAAAAATAATTTACAACTTCTGAAACACACATGTTTCTGTGACTTAACGGCCCTGATTTAGCTGCATTTGGGCTTTTATGTAACTGCAGATGGTCAGTTTTGAGCGCTCATGCTTAACATGCAAAACTATACTTCTTGAGATGAGGTCACAAGATGAACACTCCAGCCAGTATTTTTTGTAGAGGGTGGGGGTTCATTGTTTTGCTCAGTGCATCGAGATGTAATTGCTCACTAAATAACCATCTCTCAGGGGTGGCCAGTCTGCCATTCAGCACAGGTCTGCACAGTGTCCTCTTCTGCTCTAAGGCCAGTCTAACACGTACAGTGGCTTTCCTGCATCTCCCAGGAAAGTTCTACCCGCCGCTTCATCAAGGCTGATTGCTGGAGACATTCCTCCCCCAGCGAGATATTCACCTGATGTGAAGCAGACCTGTGTCCTGAACACTTACTGAGGAAGGGAAACAAGAGCAGTCTCCTTGCTGCAGAAACTGAAGGGTCCAATTTGTCCAAACACCATGGTAAAAGTTTGACAACAAGATATTTTTGCAGGGATCAACTGATAACTACACACACTTGCACCCACAATTACCGGCACACCATAAACTTACATATATACTGAACCATAGTGGCACAAAAGTCTTGTTGGGCGTCAGCTGAGCTAATCCTCATCTTTGTCACTGTGAAGTACCCCTGGCAACCCTGAAGCTTCACTTCAAGCAGACACAACACTCTTTTTGGTTACAATGCAAATTATTATTATTTTGGTTCTTTTGAAAAGATTTGAACCTTAAGAGAGGTCTCCTCTTGTTTACACAACACCTGAAGTCGCTGCATAGTTATTTATACAGAAATTGTTTCATCAGAGGGAAAAAAAATCTTTATTTATGACCCCGACAATGACACAAGAATAGGTTCAAGCCCTTCTCCATCTGTTTGCAATCACAGTGTAATGCTATCATCACCTGTTTCCATGGTCTCGGTCACATCTGGCTTGCATTACCAAAAAAATCACACAAGGTGCATTTTTTCTTCCCTCTTTGTGTGTGCTTTCCTTTAGTATTTGGCTTATATTTCTGAAATGGGCTACAACAACAAATTAAGATCTGAGACATGGAGAAATAAAACACTTATATCGAGCAGCAATTTACTTTAAATTTCAGAACCAGACTCCCTGGGGGTCTGAACATATTAAATGCAGGAGTTTAAGCACTCTGTAAGGTTTATTGCAATGTAAAGCTAGTTTACAAAGATAACAAAGTGTTCAGTTCTCAAAACTTGCAAGGAATGACTCCAATTTGTTTGTAGTTTAATCCATCAACTTGCAAATAAAGCACAATCCCTCCAATGTGGTCTTATTTAAGGAGCTTTAGTGCAAATAATAGTCCCAATGTCTCTATTTAGGGAAGCAAAATGCATTGTAATTAATATTGTCATCTGATCTAATGTTAAATTGATATATACATACTATATATATTCAGCTACAACATCATGCAGGTGTTTGATGGTCTTATATAATTGCATGTCTGTGGTTTGAGAGGATGTAACATTTGCCATATGACACCATAATCGTAAGGACACACACTAAAGGGTAGTACAGCCACTGTAAGAGAAATCTTGCCCAAGGAAATGTATTTCTCTGCCTCATAACTGTCTGGAATTTGTGTATCCGTTCTGTCTCTCCCATGGACACCAGCTGTGCAGCTGGTGCTCGCTGGAAACTGTAGTTAGCCTGTAGTCGTGAGGGATTTTTAACACAATTCTCCCATGTGCATTCAAGGAAGAAGTAATGTCATGCAATCGGGGCCATGTTATCATTGTGTGAATCCTAGAGAGTGATGTCAGAGGAAAAAGGAAACTAGCTAACTCCCAAACCAAAAGAGCAAAGGTTAGCGGCAGGTTGGCAGAGACCCAGACTGGCTTAAAGACTTTCCTTATTCTCTTTCCCTTTTGCTTTCCTTAATAGTGTAGTCGCTTCATTCAAATGGCAGTATTCTGCTTCCTTTGGCATATCTGGTTATGAGCTGTGATTTATCATAATGGAGTAATAGTTGTCATTTTGGGGTTAAAGATAACAGCTTTTTTAAATGGCATGTCCTGTGAATTGGCTCTGCATTGATGGAATACACTGTTGCAAATGGATGAAACTGAGACAAATGGATGGATGGACACACTAATTCACTGGCTATATTAACATGAGCTTTTCATCATCTGTAATGAAAAATCAACACCTCCTAATCTCTTACGAGAAAGATCATTTTGTGTCCCTTAGAAATCCATGTTGTATCACTCTTTGGGAGGGAAGGATCAAAGTCGACTTTTTAAAAATATCCGGTGAGAGTGTGTGCAGCATGAGTGTATCTGAATGAGTTTGCTACTTCAAAATGTTTCAGACGTCACAGTACAGCTTATGACAGAATGGAAAAACCATGCATGACGTATCAAACCATTTTTTCCATTTAGCAACTTCATTACTTTGTAGCCATATTGTGGTTGTATGATAACTCAGCCCTCAGCTGTGACAGATAACCATTTATGTTGGAATATGTTTTTTTTGGCACACCTTTGTCTTGTACTCAAGGCTGCCCAAACTGAGACCAAGTCAAGACCAAGACTTTTAGGGGCTGAAACCAAGTTGAGGTCAAGACCGAGTCAAGACCAGAGCTTATCGAGACCGAGACAAGACCAAGACTTTTAGGGGCTGAAACCAAGTTGAGATCAAGACCGAGGGAGGGCAAGACCGAGTCAAGACCAAGACCAGTTCCCCACATTACATGACACACGGTAAAATGTGGAACGAGATCATAGGTACTTCTCAAACTGATCTGAAAGATCCACAATCCCATAAAAACACCCACGTACAAACACTAAGAGCTGAAATCAACACAAGCATCTTTATTCAACACTTCTTTTCCATGTTTAACATCGCAGGGAGGGGTGACAGTCATTAAAGGGAAAAACACATTTTTAATTAGTGTGTAGTGCATTTGAAGCAATACGTTTTCAATCCAATCAAAGTTAGGATGTTCACAAATAAATTAGAAAATGCAAATGCAGTTTATTGATATTCTCAAAGTTATGGACTGGTCTTGAAATAAAATCTCGAGTCCTCAATGTCCGAGACCGAGACAAGACCAAGTACTAATGCGGTCGAGTTCGAGTCGAGACTAAGACCATCAAAAAGTGGTCTTAAGACCGGTCTTGAGACCAAGACCGGTCTTGAGTACTACAACAGTAGCACCCCTACAATGTTCAGACTAGCACTTATTGTGAGATTGTGAAAT